TATCTAATTTTTTTCAGTCAGTTCTGTAACAACTTTCTCTAGATTTTCAATCACAAAACCTTGGTAAGCGAAATACCAGACTATTGAATTGCAGATTAATTCTGAGTCTGATGGTCACAATATGAATTGTTGTTGATTTTTAATGTAGAAATTAAAAGTTTTGAAGTTTTTCAGACTCATTAGTTTATTCAAATGACAAAGGGAATCATAGATCAGTCGCTGATACATGTGCTATATATCTGGGGTATGCGCCTGGGTACTCAAAGAGGATTTCGACAGAGACGCATACCCAAGTATGATGCTTCATGATTTAATATAATTAATATTTATTCATTAACATGCATATAAAATTTCTCAATCATTATTAAATGATTTAGCACAATTAAAATGTTCATATAATGAAAATAACCCTCATGCATCAAAACTTGATCATTGTATTGAATTATCAGATACATATTGAAAACATTTTTCTAATGAAAAATATCGAACGAATTATTAAAAATAGTTACCGCGCCGCTGCCTCAGTGGTTTTCCAAAAACTGTGTCGAATTTCACTGCTGTTACTGTATTTGACCAGAAATAGCGGTACTAGTCCATCAGATTCATTTAGTCTCAGGTTGCCTCATTTGAAAACACTGAAATTCTATCAAATTCATACAGTTTGTCAATGTTCTCGAAAAGAATGTTGCCGCTGCCGCACCGCCATGGACATCTATGGTGCAAATTGATCAAAACAATCATTAACACAATCATTAAAAGATTATGCTACTATGGATGTTATTTTCTTAATTGATATTTGTGAACGATTAAATAATCGAATTCAGCAAGAATTAAACGATCAAAATAATAGAATAGTAGCATGGTTTAGTTCAATTTAAAAAATAAGTTTATTCAGAACAAGTTCATATGATCGAAATTGACTTTCTGTAGAATAAAAATTGTATTAGAGTCCCTCCGCTTCTATCTTTTTTTGAAACTGGGTGAATATAACCCACTTTTCAGATGATTATAATCTGTCGAATTAGAAATTTTAAAATTTGAACCCAATCATTTCTAAGTCATTTTCAGACATTTTATGCTGAAAAATTTCTCGTTTCTCTTATTACTTGTTATTTATTGAAATCGAAGACAAATTAAAATTTCTTGTCTTCTAGGAAACATGTGCACAATTCTCTTGAACGATCCACTGATTTAAATCAAGTTGTTCCCTATTAATGTACCTGTGGTGAACGATTTATAACGAATAATAAACGTATCCGCGTAAAAAAAAGAATGAAAAATTAATTCCTAATAATCATGATCCAATAAAACATGAAGTAGCCATTACGATATCTGTATCACAATTTGATTCTGATGCACCACCACTACAACCATGTAGTCGTTGATATATTCTACCCGCATTTAAAAGTGTTTATCAATCAATGAATCAAATATTTTTGTATGAACAAGTTCAATCTTCATCAGCATTTAATGAATTTTAATAAATAAAATGAAAATCGTCCGCTTGATACGAAGGGTGTGGGTGTGAGTAAATAGTGTTTAATCACCCACACCCATATAAATAAGACTGCACAAGAATGTCTAAAATCACCATTAATAAATATTGCAGCAATTCTTTTCAGTGTTGAGAATCTTGTAAAGAAATTGGGAACGTTCAATGAAAACCACATAAACATTTCAAAATGTCTCTGAAAATTTAATAAATATAAAGCACATTTCAAATAATATTCGTTCACTTGAGATAAAAAAAAATGAATGAATAGATGGCAAGCTCAATAACTGTATAAAAATCATAACGATGTTGTGAATCTAAGATTTCTCATTATCTTTATTTTATGATAAAACTCGAAAATTCGATATTGACTATGTTCTAAAGAATTTAAAGAGTGATCCTGTTGATACGAAGCAATTAAGAAAGCGATACGATGAATTTCACACTATCTATAAGAATATAGCAGAAAAGTATCTTAATCCTAATCTCAAACTTGACAAATTAATTTCCCATACTGAATTATTCACTGGAGATATTAAACAAAATGCACCTATCATTGTGTGGGATGCATATATAAGATTTAAAGTTCCAAGATGGTGATCCCCACTTTTATTTCTTGGACTCTTCAAACTGCAGTTCATTACTTTGAAGCCGAAGGATTAGAAGATAACAATAACCACCTTCTTTAGGCTTATGCTTCTCAGAAAATCTCAATGTTTTGTAGGCTCGGTGTGAGTGAAAAGAAAAAAAGAATTAATAAACAATTTAATACAAAAAGGAGCAGGCGAAGAAAAATCTATAATATTAGTGGCTAGAGCTTCTATACTCGCATTATTAGGTTTTGATATACACTGAGTCTGTTGTCGTAAATATTGAAGTCAGACAGATTACTCAGTGTTTCTACCCTTATTGATTCATTATAGGACTTTCAACATATTCATGTGAAGATATAAGTAATGAAACTGGTGACATTTGTCAAATAGTCTCAAACAGTTAATTTTTAAAGATATTAATGATGCTTTGAAAAATAGTCGAGAGATGTAGCCAACTAAAATACTATTAATTTACGAAATTGATTTTTTTTTAGTAGAAAATTTAATGGCAACTTATATAAACCATCAGCTAATTAGTTACCTAGTTTTTTTTCTGGTTTCAACACGTTTTCTAGAAAAGTATTTGCACATTGTACAAACTTTATTCGATACTGCTTTATTTTTAATAATTTTCACTGTAAAAAAGTAAAGTTATCTAATTATAAAGATTTTAATCAATTTTTTTCAGTTTAGAATGAATTGAATCAGTAGTTCATGCATTTCACTTTGAATTACAAAGCTTGATATTTATCAACAGTGAACAAAAGTGTAAGAAATTGTTTCGTTTTTGTATGTTCATCACCGAAAGTTTTTTTAACGATTCTGTGAGCTTCCGAATAGTATTTTTTCGCTTCATCCAATTTGACCTGTTTTTCAGTAGATTCTTGATTTTCTTGTTGATCCTTCGGTTTATTATCCATTTCGGCTACTATTTTCATGCAAATATCACCCAAATTGGCATAGACATCACATATTTCAATATGATCCATACCTAATGTAGCCAATAATATCTGTAGAGCCTGTGTCAGATGTACATAAGCCGTATCGTAATCGTTCATCATTGCATGAGCAAGACCAAGAGAATTAAGAAAAAATCCATATTTATAATGTTGGTCGTTGAACTCTTTTTTGATAATGGCAAGTGCTCGATCAATATAAACAATAGCTTGTTCATAATTGCCTAAAAAGGAAAAAATAGAATAAAATACAACTCTCAAATATGTCTCGGTTTTGTTTGTTTTTCTAACGGACCGAGTTGGTGTTGAACTTGTCCAATATTGTGAAGGATCTCAGCTGCTTCTGAATGTTCGGAACCAAGCGTTTTTTCGATTATTGTGAAAGCTCGTCGATAGAAACGTAGAGCATCGTCGTAATTATTTCTTTCTCGATCAAGATCTGCTAGATTATTGTAATAGATACCCAATTTATAATGTTCTTGATTAGGACCGAACGTATCTCGGACAATTTTTATTGCTCTTTCATAGAGTTCTGCTGCTCCATCGTAATCGGCTTTCTTCTTTAATACGAGACCCATTGAATTAAGTACTTCAGCTACTTCAATATGCTTTGGTCCCAATGACTCTTGCAATGCTGCTAATGCTTTCTTATATGTGACTTCCGCTGTTTTGTAATCGCCTCGCTAAAAAAAGAATCATTGCAAAGATAGAGTTTTTCTTCACACAGACGAGTCTTCGTTCGATTAAATACGTGAATTTTCTACAGATACTATAAAGAGTCTCAATCGATTGTCTATGTCTCATGCGAATAAACGAAATAAGTCAAAGGTCAATCAAAATGGACGAAATAACTTCGAGACTTCAATTCTACAATCTAGTTTCGGTTAATTGGGAAATAACATTTTCTAGTAAATCAAAGTTAACTTTTAATAATCTTCGAATCAGACAAATACAAATTGAAATAGTCAAGAAAAAGCATGATAAAGTTTCCTCAACAAGTATCAATTGCATGGTCTGCATGTAGCACTAACGAGGGAATATACGCAAATGTTCGACGTTGATCAATCTCCTAGTTAGTTCGTAAGTGAAATGTGATGAGACAAGAAAAACCTGAAATGATTTATTCGCATACAATAGCTGGTCAAGATTATGCCTGTTTATAGAAACGTCTCAGAATCAATAGATTATTTTTAAAAAGACAAACTAAAACAAGTGTTCTCTTATCAAGCAATACAAAGTTCAACAGGCGTTTTTAATTCAATTTCCTATAAACATCTGATCAATTATCTCATATAATTCTGTCTATGAGTCAAAATATAAACTCAATCCGCATTTCCCCTCGTAAGTAGAAACTAAATTTAATTCTTTGATGTGATGATAGAAAAAGAAAGAATATTCGTGCTGATATTAAATAATTGACTTTAGTTCTATCGTTAGAATCAATTTGACATTCGTTATCCTGCAATATAATATTCTAGATAAATCGGTACCAAACTTTAAAATTAATTGAATTTAAAAAATGTTAGAATTGACTAACGTATTTGTCTCTCCTAGATAAACACGCTCATATCCCGCTTGATAACAACTCTTGTTTGTAATTGATGTATCTTGTATCTTCTGTTAAAATCATTTTTTTTTACTATTCACCACGATTGAAAATCATTAGCCCAGAATGTGAACATCTGCCTATGGAAAGCTTACACAGAACAACATCTCTCAAAATCCATTCAATAAATCAATTGGATTGGAATGAAGACCATAATGAGTCTTTCAATTGATTCTTGAGCATGGATATTTTCAAAATGCCAAAAACGAAAAATCATTTTACTCTTTTGATAAATTTTCTATCTGACTAGTTGATTTATTTTGGTGATTCTTTTACAATGCATACCTTTCGATAAATGTCACCAATATTTCCTAAATACATTCCGATTGACTCATGCTTATGACCATAATAATGTTTTGATATTTTCAACGCTTGTTTGAAATAATCCAATGCTTCTATATATTTCCCTTCTTTCTTCAAAAGAATACCCAAATTATTCATAACATCAGCAACTAAAGGATGATTGTGACCATGCACTGATTCAAGTTGTTTAAGTGCTTTTAAATAGAGTTCATGAGAATCATTATAATTTCCTTTTTTTCGAAAAATATCTACATTTCAATTCGAAAAAAACAAAATGTTATGAACGATTCTGAAATTGAAAACATAAAATGTGATACTACCAGCCAGATTAGCAACAATTTCTGACCAAAGATCTGAATTTGTATCAGCTATTTCAAATGCTTTATTATAGCTTGAAATAGCTTGATCATACTGAAATTCAAAATAAAATATAAATATAAGAAACAAAAAATCGAATGAACATACATCAGAACATTTCTTTGCAAGAAGCCCGATACCATTGAGAATTTCGGCTTTTTTCTGTGATTTATCATTATTTGGCAAAAGATTGAGTGCCCGAATAAATTTGTCTTGTGCTTCGGTATATTTTGCTTTTTTAAGATAAATGTGTCCTGAAGCCAAAAATAATTCGATTCGTTGAGGATTTGATTTCGCTTTCAAATAAACATCTGTATAAATTTCTAACGCTTTATCATATTGACCATCGTCTAGTTCAATCTTTGCACTCAGAGTCATGACATCGAACACATTTTGCATGCCTTTCATCATTTTTAAACATTGCCGTGCTTCATCATAAGCATGTTCCTGATGAAATGCTTTGGCTAAATCATAAAATGCATTGTCCTTTTCCTTTGTACGTGTTTTCGCATTACTGTACTGTCGTAGTTGAAGTCGTAATTCAGATAATTTCTGTTCTCGTTGATTCGTTAAGTTATCCGGTGAATAGGGACATGATTGTTTGTGTTGAGTCAAATCACTTCGAGGTACTTTAGCTGGACAACCTTGCAATTTATTAGGACAATTGAATTGAACATTGTCGACAAAACGTTGAATGACAACATTTGTTGTTAATGTTTGTTCGGTCAATGCTGTTGAACTACATCGAGGACAACTTTGAGCAGATTGTCTAAGCCATGATTGAATGCAAGCAAAACAGAAGAGTTGATGACAACAGGGAGTTTCTCGAACATCGGTCAGATAGTCACAACATATACAGCACTCAATCAAAATTTGAAATTCATCTTGTGATGCAATCATTCTGTTTTTTTGTTGTCTAAATGAATGAAACGAGGTTTACTTACGAAGAGATTCAAATTTCATATGTTTTTTAAGCAAAAATAATAATATACATCGATGTATGTGAATAAGACGATGAATAAATATTGCATCGTTTTTTTTATACCGTGCAAATCAGCCTTACACTTGAAACACAATTATTGTGTCAAGGTCGAAGAGAAAAACAATTCACCTCGTGTATCTTCTGCATTCTTTTGCATGAAAAAAATATACTTTAGTATTTGTTTATTCATGCTGTCACAACAAGAAAGAATGGTAACCATATGGTATGATGTCAGAGGGATCACAAGTCGTTTCCTTCGTGCAATTAATAGCAGATGCACTTCTCATCAGTGACATCTATTTTGATATTTTCCCAATGAATATTTTCTCAAGATTTTTATATAATATGATCAAGGATAGAAAACCTAACATTATTATAATAAGCTCATTTCTAGCTTCTGTCATTTACTAAGAATGCATCTTGCAAGAGGCTTGTTTCCATAGGGACTAAAATGAAGATGTATGATTGTGCCCATCCGTTATATTTTCTTCACACCCTTTATTTGCCAATGGTTATAAAATATGGATCTGTTACAAGAACATGTCGTCTGAATTAATCATGAAGCAGTTGTGTCAATTGAGAAATAGCTTATTTCTATAGGTTCAATCAAGCGTAGATTATCGTTAGTTTTTTAACATCAACTTGATGCACAAATATCCAATTTTATTATTAAAACAAAATTATAAATGATATGAACGTATCTCTTAGTATTAAATAATACAAAAATAATCAAATAGAAATAAAAATAAAAAACTAATTTGTATAAAGATACAAAATATTGTCGTATCATGATTTTTTGCGTGGAATAATCTAAATAAAAAGAAATCTAATGAAGTACATTTTTAGGATTATCGAGAATCAATACTTCAGTTGTTTTACATTGAGAAGATGTTGTAGCTTGAGTTTTATTTGCTGCCTTTTCTGGATTGATTGCTTAGTTGTTTTTGTTTATACCGAGTTCTTTGACAGTTATAGAAGGACCATTACATGACAACATATTTTCTAAATGCACTTAATACAAATGAAGATTGAATTATTGATAATCTAAAATTTTGACCTGTAATTTGGAAATATTCGATCAATATGACTTAGATTAAGAGGATTAACTATGTTCCATATCTACTGATATATTAAAGAAATTCGACATTCTTTTGTTATCATTCGCATAGTTATTTTTGTTGAGCTGATAAACTAGTATCATGATACGAATTTAAATAATAACAACCAACACAACGCGTATAGACCAACACTAAATTTAATGCTGAAATGTGTATTAAAAGGAATTGAAGTGCGACCTCATCATCATCATTCTCGCGATCATTATCACAATCGAACTATTATTTTTTTTTCCATTGGATTATCATCTTCTTTCTCTTTATCATAATTATCTTTAAAAAAGGGATATGTTGATCGATCACAGCGTCTGTGTTTTTCGTAGTAAAAATCTGAAATAAATTGACCAAGATAATCGAATCAGTTTTAACAAATGAATATTAAAAAACAATGAGAATAAAATGTGTTAAATTGACTACAACTTCATCATAACTTTGTCATTCTGTTTAAAACTAACCATAACAATGATGAAAATTAAAGAGAGCGACACAAATTAAATATTTTAGGTCTAAAAGTCAAGTTTACAGGCATCTCCGTGGAAAAAGAACTATACTACTCGATTGCATATTAAATTTAGATTTTTTTGGTACCTGAATGATATAATAAAAGTTGTTGGGAAAACACTGTATATAAAGTGCATATGTGACATTTGAATCTGCTGATAAAAGTCTGAGTCATCCGGGTCTGACAATACACCAATACATAACACGTACGAAGAATGAGTCATACGCCAAAAAAAAAGATTAGGCCATGCACAGTAAGTTAAAATGTGTCGCATGTGTCGTGATTTGCGACACATTAAAGTGCGACACGAGGAGCTCACTGCGACACATTTTCTATTGGTTCTTTTGGAAAATCATTTTTCGATTTTTTTTCAATTTAATTCCATTTAATTATTCGTAATCTGAAAACTCAAGCAGGCCAGATCCTGAGATCTGTTCCATCTCGAGTTGGTCCGATTTGTATCAGACCGCTTCAGGGTAGTCTTCTCTCGATCATGGATCGAGATCGACATTATCTCGATAAAAAAATGATCGAGAAATAATCTAGAACATAAGAATATTTTGAAATTTGTTTTTCGTACGTTCAACCACGTTGCTTATATATTGCTATGTGTGCATAATAAAATGGTGAACGAATAGTTAGCAGACAGAATGCGACAAATTCATATACAGCACATTCTAAGCACGACACATTTATGTGCTGGAGTGTACAACACAACAATTTACGACACATATATGCGACACATTTTAATTTACCGTGCGGAATTGATACATATTTCGAATTACATTAAAAATTAAGAAAATAATTACAAATGAGAGTAATACTATTTGAATTCGATTATTTTAATAAAGACAAAGGTATTTTTTGAAGATTAGAAGAATATAAATCTCTAACCGATTTTTTCGGGTGCGAAAATACCTATTTCTTATTATTTCATAATATTTAACTATTTGTTTTCAATTGGCATCTTTTGATTATATAAATCGAATTCAAGAGTTTTCTAAAAGTCGATTAAAGATTCGAAGGGTGTGGGTATGGATGGGGTGAAGAGAACGTCGACAGTCACACTCACCCGTACTGCACTCACACTCACACCACACCCACACCCTTATATCTCTTGAGCTAAAAATCTAGATAGATTTACAGGATGAGGTTGGGGGAGGTTGGAAACCTCTCGAGTTCTTATAATCCTAAAGATGTTTTTTCGAACTAGAACCTTCGAATATAGCTTCCTTTATGCAGTTTTCAAAGCTAAGTAAGAAAAAAAAATAGTTTCATGATTTCAAAATGCATTAAGACTAAGTTATTCTGTTTGAAACACTATAAACAACAGAAATCAATCGTTTTTGAAAGATTAGGAACTCTCGGAGGTTTTTGTACCTTTTAAGGTAAAAACCTGCATTATGAAGGTTAAAAACTAGATATGTTTGATTAGCTTGAAAAGCTTTATCGAATGGTATATAAATAAGTCAAAAATAAAATGGGTGTGGAAACTTTGAATTTGGCAGAGGTGCGCAAATACAAATACAATTTGTACCACCATTTACTCATATACTTCGAACAATCACACATGTACTCTGATATACGTACTTTTGTGGATGAGAGCAGAAACATGGACAGAGCGTATCACTTGAGTGAAATTGAAAATATAGACACACGAATAAATACAGACGTGAGCATATGAGTGAGAGTGAGGACGGAAACACACACAGGTCGTATCAACTAAGTTATCCTGAGAGTACATATGCCAGAGTATGTGACAGTACATGAACTGATTCTAAACTTTTTCCTCCATACATATAATAAACAAAGTACATATGTACTCTGCTTATTATATGTATGGAGGAAAAAGTTTAGAATCGGTTTCATGTACTGTTATGTACTCCTATATACTCTAACATATACTGAACGGTTGAGTCTGATGAGACTAATTCTGCAGTTCTAGGTTTATGGAAGTAGTATTCATTTCACAGTACATTATGTACTTGTACTTGCGCAGTCCTCCAACACAGACCAAATATGACTAGAGTACATAGATGTCACTATTTGGAGACGGAGTATTGGTCTAGTGATACAATCTTTCTCGAAAATGTCACTTTATGTATGTGTAGAATAGTTTTTATTGAAGAAATACGACGTGTTTAAGTAGCAATTACATTTAAAAGATTAAATAATATATTTTATTGAAATAAAAATGAATTTTCATATTACAAGATGAAGTTTAGAAAAGATAGAGCATGCTCAAAATAGTTATTTTAATGTTCACACAAAGAAAATGGTCTTTCAAATAGTAATTCATTATTTTGTGAAATAAAATATTTTCTTTCATTCATTAATTTTTCACGATATTGTTTTGCTTGATTCATACTCATAGGAAAATCAATATAACTCATGATTTTATTTACAATTATCGATGGTAATTGATCAAATGGAGATATAGTACGTATAATATTTGGCATCCAATGAGATTGTTGTGGTGGCACATTAGCAGTAGATAATATACGAATAGATGGATCAACTAAAAAGAATACTAATATTTTACGATAACCTGATTGAGTTCGATCTTCCAACTGAAATGGTGCAACACGATGTTGATAAATATTTGGAAATACAATACAACGATTTTCTTGAGTAATTATTTCACCCAATATTTGATTTAATGGTCCTTCATTGGTTAAACCATACACAGTTCGTACACCGCGATCATCACTTTGTTGATAATCTGGTTCTCTTATCACAGTTCTGAATTGTAAATCTGATTGTGTAATGTTAGAATTGAAATAATAAAAAATTCCTGTAGCAACAATATGTTCATTTTCCATTCCTTCAACATGCCATACACCACCAGGATATTTTGGATTATCTGGTGTCAATACAATATTCGCTAATTTAACAATCACTTGTAATTTTCGTCCACGTAAATCAATATTTGACATTTTTGATGATGTTGATGATGGCATCTGAAATTCTCCAACATCAGGCAATTTAATAGGCCTATTGCCAAAAGCATTATACGAGTTGGAATTATCATACCATGAATAAGGATCGACAATGATTCGATTTTGCTTAGTTTGATTATCAATTAAATTGGTTAACACTTTGTTGAATAAAGGTATAAGAGTTTCAAATATTTCTTCAATCAATTCATATAGATCTTTATTTTCAGTTGGATGTAAATTATTGATATATGATTCGATTTTAACTTTGCCATCATTTGAAACATTAAATTCGGCTGGTAACCATTGATACTTATCCGATCTAGCATAATTAGATGATGATTTCTGCCGTTTGTTGTTGGAAGATAATTCGGTTATATTAATATCAATAGTTTCACCATCACCAATATGTTCTAAAGCATTATCTAGATTGATAATACGATTCTTATCATTGATAATTCTTGTCATTTGATGAACATAACAAAATAATGATGGATGTACTAAATCTAATATTTGTTTATTAGTACCAGGATGCCAATCTTTTTCACTTTCTGGTATTTTTTCCAATTTATTAACACACGCAGTTAATGATTTTTTTATACGAACTGGTATTAATTCATCACTTTGCCATACACCATCGACTGCAGACATTTCCATATTTCCATCTCGTATCGAATTATAGTATTGTAATTCAGCTAGGACATACTCAATTTGTTTTGATTTAAGTAGTTTTTTCTTTAATGCTTCTTTTTTCCATTTATTTCGTATTGTTTCATCATTCATTTTTTCATACCATTTTGCTTTCGATCGAATAACACCACTCAAACGTGTCATGTTCAGTTCTATTAAAGTTTTTGGCTGACATCCTTCGCCATAATCACCTTCATAAAATGGATGTGGAAATGGTTTTAAATTGTTATTTGTACTTGTTAAATCAATTTCGAATATCTGACTAGTTTCATCTGAACTATTTCTTTTCCTGCATGAAGACATTTTCTGAAAAAAAAATAGAAAATTAAACATCTAGTTTTTCAAAAGTGTATGCTATATACTTTGATAAAGAATTCTAACAAAAAAGATCCTACGTTCTTAATGATGATGATTATGAATGTTTATCAGTTAATTAACATTTATTATGACCTTCCTCAATAATATATATACAACTACAAAGTCGCTTTGTGAACGAAATATCAAGAGTACAGATATCTAAAGGTGAAAAATTTTCGCAAGTTTAGAGGTTAAGGACAGATTCATGAATATACCAAACACTAGAATAATGAACATGGCATTATAAATAAGAAATATTTAATAACCTATCATGAAAAAATAGATCTAAAGAGATTTACTTCATCCTCATTAAATAGTAATCATGTTGGATTTAATAATGAATAAATATTATAAATCCAAGCATGATTTAGCTACTGGTGATTGTTTATCGTATCTATTGGTCGATAATAGAATTTAAAAAAAAATATGAGATATATTAGTAATATGAAATTCGCATTACACTATGAACAAAAAATAATCTGATAAACTTTCAATGCAACAATAGCTGATAATAAAAATGATGATAAAATAAATGTTAGGCAATAGTTTCGAACATAAACTGCTGCGAATATGTTATTCGATCATAATTATTCTATTGCCAAGCGGTTAAAAGAAATATTGTATTGAATGTGACATCTCGAGTATTTATAGAGGTGTCATTCGAATTTCAATCGATTGCGCAATGCAGCGCGAAGACTTTTGAATGTAGCAGACATTTGGCACCCCATAACTAAGAAACCTCTACAAAGAATTAGAGACAACCTTCTATCGGATGAAATATTAGTCTGCTATCAGATGTGAATAATGACGAAGTTTTGGGAGTAATGATAATCGGCCGAAGCCGAAGACCTAATTAGGTCTTCGGCTTCGGTCGATTATTGTTACCCGATTTTATTATTTTAATCATTTACACTCTTATATTGGTATTGATTTGACGAACAAAACTTCGTTTACATACAGCTCATCATTTATTAGTATGCAATACATGCATTGTATCAAATATTTTATTGTGTCGTTACAATAAATAATTATATTTTTCTTATATTTGTATACTAGAGTCCAAGTGATATGCGTTGTCGATAGCAAGTCTATTTCACCTATATTGGAATTACAGGAATAAAATATTCATATCTTATTCGAGCCGTATCACGCTTCGTTTTTTTTTTCTATACTATCATCGAAATATCGATGATTAATTTGGGGTGTGGATGTGGGATATTGCTTAATCTAGTCATACATATCCACACTCGAACCAAATATAATTATAATCAGAAAATTTAACTTGGTTTTCTATGAAAGTTTTATCCAATCATTTCCAGTTTCACTGCACTCAAAAAATCGGGTAACAATAATCGACCGAAGCCGAAGACCTAATTAGGTCTTCGGCTTCGGCCGATTAGCATTAGTCCCAAAACTTCGTCTTTATTGCCATCTTATGGCAG